TCTTTTCTCTGCTCTGTTCTTTTTCTTTTCTTTTTTCTTTTTTTTCTTCTCTTCTCTGTTCTGTTCTTTTTCTTTCTTTTTTTTTTCTTCTTTTCTCTGCTCTGTTCTTTTTCTTTTCTTTTTACTTCTCTTCTCTGTTCTGTTCTTTTTCTTTCTTTTTTTCTTTGTTTTTTTTCTTCTTTTCTCTGTTCTTTTTCTTTCTTCTTTTTCTCTGCTCCGTTCTTTTTCTTTTCTTCTACTTGTTTGGAATATTGGAGTCACTGATTTTCAGTTATTTCGCTTATGTGCGATTTTGGTCAAGGTGTCCGTTTGCCTATGTTGTTATATATTTTATTACTGTTTCCTTGCCCGATTGACATATATCTGCTGACTTTATTGTCTAGAAAATGTTAATAAAGATTAATTATATAAAAAAAAAAATTCTAAATACATATTTTATCCGTACGTGAAGCTGTTTGCCTGGAGTTCAGCATTAAATAAGCCTTTTTTTTTAAAATAAAATAAAATTTAATTAAAAAAAAAAAAAAATTGTGAACATATTTTTCATCTGTACATGAAGCTGTTTGCCTGGAGTTCAGCATTAAATACGCCTTTATTGGCTCATAGTACACCGAGGATAAAACTAAAGCTTTCATTTAGGCTAATAGCATTTTCCACGTCTCCAAAGTACATTTTATTTTTTTTAGATAAAACATTCCTATTCTTTTTAAAACCCAAAAGCCCGTTCCTTTGGCAAATAAAGGTTTAAACTCTCCACCCCTCCCCCGCTGCCCCCCCCCCCCATCCCATATCTCCCTTTTGTGCGTCTTTCTCGTATATTAAACCCTTTGCTGTGCATATTTTCACGTGGGATGAATTTATAGGTAACATTTGTAAAAATTATACTTTTTCAGAGGCGTTGTGAGAGAACCATCTCAAGTTTTACAACAAGAATTTATGCCAGTCTTTATTTTCCCGAGCACCAGAACGAGAGGTCTGTTCATCCTCAATCTCGCACGTTGTTATGTCTTTTTAATGAAAGTATAAAATCGCACAGTTTAATCTGCGCAGCACAGCGACGGCATTGTGCCTACAGCACTCTGTTTGTGGCTGCGGCCGAGATTAGAATAGAATTTGAATAATTTAACCACTGCGATGGACTCAAACGTTTTTTTTTTTTTTTGCTGACGCTCGGCGCTGAGAATCACAGTTTACCCAGGAAGAAAAGTACCGCTCTTAAATTTCCAATTGAAATATGTAAGCTTTGTAATTCAAAGCATGCCGCAACGTCCGGGGCCCGTACGCTCGAAATAGGAATATATACGCGTTGTGCGGCTGTTCTGGAAGGACGCGCGGCCGCCTGAGATTTTAAGGGACGGATAGAGGAGGGGCGGTGGAGTTGTTTCTGCTGCGTGGGTGCTTTGCGATTTAACACACCGCACGCCGTGGCATTTAAAGGGTTAAAATAGGTTTAGGGCTGCAACAGAGATTTGTCTTCAGGCTCTCTGAGCTTTGTTGTAGAAGTGATCAGTGCGGCTGTAAAGGTACCAAATCACTACTAAAGGCCGTGGATGTTCAGGCGTTCCTTCCTACCCAGCTAGACCTCCGGTGTCTTCAGAAGGAGGACCTGCTACTTCCCAATACACATAGGCGGCAATATCAGCCACTGTGTGATAGTAATAAAGGTAGGAAAAAAACACATTTAAAGAAAAGTCAAAAATGAATAAAATTGGATAGTTAAACAAATTCAACACACACACGTATATATATATATTAGATTGTAAGCTCCCAGGATCAGGGCCCACCTAACTCTCTTTTATTGAACTGTATTGTCTCCTGTTATATTGTAAAGCGCTGAGCAAACTGTTGGTGCCATAAATCCTGTATAATAATAAATGATATATAAATCCTGTATAATAAATCAATCCTTTAATAATGATATATATATCCTGTAAAACACACAATGTTTAATTTTAAAATGTAAAAATTCATATATGTGTGTATATATATATATTATATATATACAGTCATATATATATCCTGTATAATATTATATATATATATATATATACACACACACTTTTTTTAATTACATTTTTAAGTTTAATTTTAAAATGTAAAAAATCCTTTCATATATGTGTGTATATATATATATACTTTTGTAACCCTTTCCAGCTTCATGCAAGTCAACAATTCTTGATCGTAGGTCTTCTGAGAGCTCTTTTCTGCGAGGCATGGTTCACATCAGACAGTGCTTCTTGAAACCAGTAAACCCAAAACAGGTGTGTGTTTTTTAAGGGCAGGACAGCTGTCAGCAACACATCCAATATCATCACACTGATTGGAGTCAAGGTTGGCTCACTCCTGGCTCCAATTAGCTCTGGGAGAAGTCATTAAGCTAGGGCCTCACATACTTTTTCCTCCCTGCACTGTGAATGTTTACATGTTATGTGCAATTAAACCATGGCAACATCTAATGTTTGTGTAGTATTATGTTCAGCAGACTGTGTTCTTCTATTGTTGTGACTTAACGCTCTCTCCCGTTTTCATCTGCCTTTTCAAGTGTGATTTCTATTGCCCACAACTTGTTACTTGCCCCAGATGACGTTCAGAGCACATTTTATGCCCAATTCATGCAAAACTCCACGTAATCCCAAGGGGTTCACATACTTTTTGTTGCAACTGTATGTTAGGTTTACATTTTGAGTTAAATCTTTTTCAAGCAAATTTTGTCAAATGTGAAATGGAAAAAAAAACAAAAAAACTCCCCGATATAACTCACATTTCCCTGGAGCACAGAATCAATTAGATAACTTCCAACTCTTCAGCAAATGGCAGAACCCTCTGAGAATTTGGAAGTGTCTAAGTGACCTGGGCATCATTACCTCCAGAAATAAGGTGACACCTAAAGAATGAACTGCAAGTACTCGGGGTGGGGGGGGGGGGGGGGGGGGGGCGGGGTCAGGTGAAAAAGCAGTGAAGAACACCACAAGGCTAACATCTGCATGGTCTAACAAATCAAATTTATTAAATTTAATACCTTAGGTGATATACAATAAATAAGTACATAGATAAGGAGTCCTGACTTTTCTCCAACTTATCTGACTTGCTACAGAGTTACAATACTGACGGAGTAATCACTGTTGGGTGGGAGACTGGGGAAATGCTCCCTCTAGCCTGCAGCAGACTGATGACATCATCTCAGCCTAGGCAAAGTCCCTGAGTGCAGCACAAAGATGACTTTTAATGAGAGTAGTTGAGTTTTTGTGACCAATGATACGTTGACTGCAAATGCGACATGTCAGGAATGTATCCATGCAGAATTGTAAAGAGATCCTCTTTCAGTCTAGGTTCACACATAAGCGGTTGGTTGCAGGAATCGCAGCTGTTCCCACAATCACCCGCAGCCAAACCACGCTGCTGTGTAGAGAGACGATCGGGGATCCCGTTCATTATTAATGCATCTGAACCCACAGCGCATTTGTGGGTGCGGGATCTACAGGGATATCACCTAGTGCTTTTCCTGTGGCTTTTTTTTTTTTTAAAAAGGTGCAATCCACATTTTTTTTGGGAGAAGCAGGCACGGCAGCCCATTCAAATGAATGGTCTGCCGTGTAGACATGTGCGATTTGTTTCGTTATTTGGAGATTCAGATTCAGAAAATAGAATGGAATAGAAAAAAATAGAAAGAATATACAGTAGCTGTCTCCTGAAATTTGAATTTCAAAAATATTGGAATAGAATAAAACAGAATATGATAGAAAATAAAAGTATAGAATAAAATAGAATTGAAAATAATAGAACATTCGAAGATTCAGATGTATTTGAATTTCTGAATTACAGTAATAACAAATGTTTTAAAATTACAAACAATTAAACAAAACTTCATCCAAAAAAAATGGAATACAGTAAAACAGAATAGGATATAAAAGAATAGAATAAAAAGAAATAGAATTGAATAGAAAATAACAGAATAGAAAAAAAATAGAATGGAATAGAATAAAATAGAAAGAATATACAGTAGCTCTCTCCTGAAATTTGATTTTGAAAATATTGGAATAAAATAAAACAAATATAATAGAAAATAAAAGTATAGAATAAATTAGAATTGAAAATAATAGAACATTCGGAGATTAATATTATTATACAGGATTTATGGCGCCGACAGTTTGCTCAGCACTTTACAATATAACGGGAGACAATACAGCAACAATATAGTTCAATACAAGAGGGATAGGAGGGCCCTGATCCTGGGAGCTTACAATCTAGGAGGGAGGGGCTAGTGGTACAAAAGGTAGTAACTGTGGAGGATGGACTGGTAGGAAGAGTAGAAGATTTTATTATTAGCTGAGGGCAGGATAGGCTTCCCTGAAGAGATCAGTTTTCAGAGATCTCCTAAAAGTGAGCAGAGTAGGCGATAGTCTGATAAATTGGGGTAGAGAGTTCCAGAGGATGGGGGAAGCTCTGGAGAAGTCCTGGAGATGAGCATGGGAGGAGGAGACAAGGGAGCTAGAGAGCAGGAGGTCGTGCGAGGAGTGGATAGGATGGTTTGGGTGATATTTAGAGACAAGTTCGGTGATGTAATTTGGGGCAGAGTTATAAATGGCTTTATACGCCAGTGTTAGTGTTTTGAATTTTATCCGTTGGGCAATTGGAAGCCAGTGGAGGGATTGGCAGAGAGGGTTGGAGGACACTGAGTGGAGGCCAGTGGAGGGATTGGCAGAGAGGGGTGGAGGACACTGAATGGAGGCCAGTGGAGGGATTGGCAGAGAGGGATGATGGAGGACACTGAGTGGAGGCCGGTGGAGGGATTGGCAGAGAGGGGTGGAGGACACTGAGTGGACGCCAGTGGAGGGATTGGCAGAGAGGGGTGGAGGACACTGAGTGGAGGTCAGTGGAGGGATTGGCAGAGAGGGGTGGAGGACACTGAGTGGAGGCCAGTGGAGGGATTGGCAGAGAGGGTTGGAGGACACTGAGTGGAGGCCAGTGGAGGGATTGGCAGAGAGGGGTGGAGGACACTGAATGGAGGCCAGTGGAGGGATTGGCAGAGAGGGATGGAGGACACTGAGTGGAGGCCAGTGGAGGGATTGGCAGAGAGGGGTGGAGGACACTGAGTGGAGGTCAGTGGAGGGATTGGCAGAGAGGGATGGAGGACACTGAGTGGAGGCCGGTGGAGGGATTGGCAGAGAGGGGTGGAGGACACTGAGTGGAGGCCAGTGGAGGGATTGGCAGAGAGGGATGGAGGACACTGAGTGGAGGCCAGTGGAGGGATTGGCAGAGAGGGATGGCAGATACGGAACGGTTAGTAAGGTGGATGAGTCTGGCAGCAGCATTCATGATAGACTGAAGAGGGGATAGCCTGCGATGAGGTCGGCCAATGAGGAGGGAGTTACAATAGTCAAGGCGTGATGTAACAAGGGAGGGAATGGAAATACGTTGCTTAGTGGTTTCCGAGGCTAGGAACGGGCGCATCTTGGAGATGTTGCAGAGGTGAAGTCTACAGGATTTGGACAATGATTGGATTTGGGTCTGGAAGGACAGATTGGAGTCTAGGATTACACCTAGTAATCCTAGCAGAGGGACTGATGGTTGTATTATTGATCTTGATGGAGAAGTCGGGGGGGGGGGGGGGGGGCTGGAGGGAATACTAGGAGCTCAGTTTTGGAAAGATTAAGTTTGAGGAAGTGGAGTGACATCCAATCAGATATGTCACTTAGTAGGCTAGTGATAGGAGATTCAGGTGTATCTAAATTTCTGAATTACATTCATTTATTAAAAATCCAAACAAATGTGTCTGGGTTCAGAGGAAGTAGGTTGAATGAGGTTAGTCATCAGATTAAGGACTTTATTCATTCATAATGACCTTGTACATTCACTTCTCCATTCACTGTCCACTCACAGGCAGGAGATGTGTCTGGGTTCAGAGGAAGTGGGTTGAATGAGATTGGCCATCACACTAAGGACATCTTCTGGCAAAACAAAGTACTGCCGGGAAAACCCCTGGATTAAAGGAAAGTATTGTAGTCAATGTTGGTCGTGTCATTTTATTCATTCATGATGACCTTGTTATTTTTCATCGGAGTTCTTTTTTAAGAAGCTCCAAGGAAGAGAAGAGCACACGGAGGGGCCAAAGGCCCCTTCTATCGTCCAATTAGCAGATGAATGACATAGGAAGCTGCAATGGTGAAAATGGTGTAACTATTCCATCAGGACTTCCAATTTAAAATACAATACTTTATTAGTGTACTATGATAAGACCCAGCATTCTTCCTGGTGACAGATCCTTTTGAAAACGGGGATTTGTCTCTTTTTCTCAGCGTATGAGCTCTTTAAGAAGTCCGGACTTGCCTGAATGGCGGCGGAAGGAGCGGTATCGACCATTTTTGACCTTGCACATTTTGAAAGGGACAGCCGACGCCAAGCCCAGGTACCTGACGGTGATATCTGTCATTTAAAGGCTTCTGTTTCAAAGCGCCATCGTAAATAAGAAGCTTTAACCTTACATGTTCGTCTTGTGGAAACATGACATGGAACTTCGACGGAGGGAAAGGTCGCACTTATCAGCATGCACTGTGATAGACTCTCTCCCAATTGACATTTTCATTATCAGGAAATTTATGTCTCTATCACTTGTCTGTAATAATGATGACCGCTCTCTGTGGAAACCGAACTGCCATTAATGAACATGAATGGAAAGAAGGAGCGAGGAGAGAAAAAAAAAAAGGAGATCAAATTAATTCTGATACTCAGACGGTTCTTTTTTTTTTTTCTTTCTACTTCAAATCACAGCTTCAACTTACTCAATGCAAAGATTTAATATCGTTTTCAGTTATTAGATAAGAAGTTTGTGATGCAAATTTTCATTAAATCCCCCTCCCCCCCCCTCCCCTGCCTTAGTAAGAACAGTTCGCTGAGAATAAATAGGCAATATAATTTTGTTATCAAATTACAGAGAAGAAAATAACTTATGATCAGCTTCTCGTTCAGCTTCTCATTCGTTCATTACAGTAGGTGGACAAAAGGTAACTCTGTGTGTATATACATATAAAGGTAGAGAGACTTGTAGGCAGGTGCAAGTATTTTCTTGCCTGTAGATGGCACTGTGCTGATGCTATAGGGGAGGAGGAGTCTGGTAAGGAAGTTGTCCCTTTATGGACTCCGGGTAAGAAGAAATCCAGTTGGATACCCAATTTCCACAAAAATGTGGGCGGCCATCTTAACGTGGGAGCTTTTAAAAAAAGGAATCCTACATCATTAGGGATCACAGGTAGGTAGACAATATGTAACTCTGTGTGTAGGCAGGTGCAGGTACTCTTTCGGCCTGTAGATGGCACTGTGCTAATGATATAGGGGAGGAGGAGTCTGGTAAGGGAGTTGTCCCCTTATGGGCTCTGGGTAAGAAGAAATCCAGTTGGATACCCAATTCCCAGAAATATTTGGGCGGCCAACTTAACGTGGGAGCTTTTAAAAGAGGGATCCTTTATCATTAGGGAGCATACGGTAGGTAGACAATATGTAACTCTGTGTGTAGGCACGTGCATGTACTCTTTCAGCCTGTAGATGGCACTGTGCTGATGCTATAGGGGAGGAGGAGTCTGGTAAAGGAGTTGTCCTCTTATGGACTCTGGGTAAGACGGAATCCAGTTGGATACCCAATTCCCCCTTAAATTTGGGTGGCCATCTTAACGTGGGAACTTTTAAAAGAAGGAATCCCACATCATTAGGGAGCATACGGTAGGTAGACAATATGTAACTCTGTGTGTAGGCAGGTGCAGGTACTCTTTCCCTGTAGATTGTGCTAATGATATAGGGGGGGGAGGAGTTTGTCCCCTTATGGACTCTGGGTAAGAAGTTTCCAGTTGGATACCCAATTCCCAGAAAAATTTGGGCGGCCAACTTAACGTGGGAGCTTTTAAAAGAGGGAATCCCCCTTCATAAGGGAGCATACGGTAGGTAGACAATATGTTGTCCCCTTATGGACTCCAGGTAAGAAGGAATCCAGTTGGATACCCAATTCCCACAAAAGTTTGGGTGGCCATCTTAACGTGGGAGCTTTTAAAAGAGGGGAACGCTCATCATTAGGGAGCATACGGTAGGTAGACAATATGTAACTCTGTGTGTAGGCAGGTGCAGGTACTCTTTCGGCCTGTAGATGGCACTGTGCTAATGCTATAGGGGAGGAGGAGTCTGGTAAGGGAATTGTCCCCTTTGGTCTCTCCGGGTAAGAAGTTATCCAGTTGGATACCCAATTCCCAGAAAAATTTGGGCAGCCAACTTAACGTGGGAGCTTTTAAAAGAGGGATCCCATATCATTAGGGAGCATACAGTAGATAGACAATATGTAACTCTGTGTGTAGGCACGTGCAGGTACTCTTTCGGCCTGTAGATGGCACTGTGCTAATGATATAGGGAGGAGGAGTCTGGTAAGGGAGTTGTCCCCTTATGGGCTCTGGGTAAGAAGAAATCCAGTTGGATACCCAATTCCCACAAATATTTTGGAGGCCATCTCAACGTGGGAGCTTTTTAAAAAAGGAATCCCACATCATTAGGGAGCATACGGTAGGTAGACAATATGTTGTCCCCTTATGGACTCCGGGTAAGAAGGAATCCAGTTGGATACCCAATTCCCACAAAAAATCTGGGTGGCCATCTTAACGTGGGAGCTTTTAAAATAGGGAATCCCTCATCATTAGGGAGCATACGGTAGGTAGACAATATGTAACTCTGTGTGTAGGCAGGTGCAGGTACTCTTTCAGTCTGTAGATGGCACTGTGCTAATGATGTAGGGGAGGAGGAGTCTGGTAAGAAAATTGTCCCCTTATGGACTCTGGGTAAGAAGTTATCCAGTTGGATACCCAATTTCCAGAAAAATTTGGGTGGCCATCTTAACGTGGGAACTTTTAAAAGAGGGAATCCCACATCATTAGGAAGCATACGGTAGGTAGACAATATGCTGTCCCCTTATGGACTCCAGGTAAGAAGGAATCCAGTTGGATACCCAATTTCCACAAAAATTTGGGTAGCCATCTTAATGTGGCAGCTTTTAAAATATGGATTCCCCCTTCATTAGGGAGCATATGGTAGGTAGATAATATGTAACTCTGTGTGTAGGCAGGTGCAGGTACTCTTTCGGCCTGTAGATGGCACTATGCTGATGCTATAGGGGAGGAGGAGTCTGGTAAGGGAATTGTCCCCTTATGGACTCCGGGTAAGACGGAATCCAGTTGGATAGCCAATTCCCACAAAAATTTGGGTGGCAATCTTAACATGGGAGCTTTTAAAAGAGGGAATCCCCCTTGATTAGGGAGCATACGGTAGGTAGATAATATGTTGTCCCCTTATGGACTCTGGGTAAGAAGGAATCCAGTTGGATACCCAATTCCCACAAAAATCTGGGTGGCCATCTTAACGAGGGAGCTTTTAACAGAGGGATCCCACATCATTAGGGAGCATACGGTAGGTAGACATAAGGTAACTCTGGGTGTAGGCAGGTGCAGGTACTTATTTGACCTGTAGATGGCACTATGCTGATGCTATAGGGGAGGAGGAGTCTGGTAAGGGAGTTGTCCCCTTATGGACTCCAGGTAAGAAGGAATCCAGTTGGATACCCAATTCCCACAAATATTTCGGAGGCCATCTTAACATGGGAGCTTTTAAAAGAGGGATCCCACATCATAAGGGAGCACACAGTACAGATATTTTTGTAAAATATTTTAGTTCTTATCTGTCTTTTACAGAAATGTATATGAAGTAATCAGAAACACTGTTTAATTATATATCTCCTAAATAGTGATGGTCTGAACACCCCCCTTTTCGGTTCGTGGTTGAACGTTCGAACCTACCGAAAGTTCGACCGTGAACTTCGAACAGGGACAATTTACTGAGCGGTATCTTATCGCATCTGAGTATGCCAGACAAGTAAACATTTTTTTTTAAACAGCATAGGGTCCGCCCTTCCATCCATACCAAGCCCTTTGGGTCTGGTATGGATTTTGAGGGGAGCCCCCATGGCAAAATAAAAATAAAAATGGCAGAGGGATCCCGCTCAAAATTCATCCTTGACCTGGGCATTGAATGAGCCTGTTTCGGTACTGCAGAGCTGCTGACCACCTAACGATTTTGAGGGGAACCCCCACGGCAAAATAAAAAAAAATGGCAGAGGGATCCCCCAAAAATGCATACCAGACCCTTATCTGAGCATGCAGTCTAGCAGGTCAGGAAAGTGGAGGGGGGGACGAGGGAGCACGCACCCTTCTGAACCATACCAGGCCACATGCACCTCAACATGGGGGGGTTGATGGGGACAAGGGCCTCGTCCCCATCAACTGCGGGCAAGGGGCTTATTGGAATCTGGAACCCCCCTTTAACAAGGGGGCCCCAGATCCCACCCCACCATGTGAATGAGTATGTGATACATGGTACCGCTACCCACGGCAAAATTAAAAAAAATGGCAGAGGGATCCCCCCAAAATCCATACCAGACCCTTATCTGAGCATGCAGTCCAGCAGGTCAGGAAAGTGGAGGGGGGGACGAGGGA